TTCAATATTTTTCATTATTAATTCACAATTTATTATTTATTAATTTCAACATTTTTTTCATTATTTAATTTTAAAATTTTTTAAAGATATTAAACTAAAGAATGACTTTAAGATGATCCTCAAAGAGTTTCTCCACATAAAGATTTAGAAATTTCAAATATGAGGAAGACATGTTTGAAGCGTTATTTTCCAAATGAGGAGAGAAGAAGTGTCAATATTGAGCTTGCTAAATTTTTTGGTTATTTAGAGGACTTTGGTGACCAAGAGTCATTACATGATAGGTGAAGAATTGATCCGAAAATGTGGTAGATTATACATAGAGCTTCAGCACCTCTACTTCAAACAATCGCCATAAAATTGCTTGGCCAAGTTCCATCCTCATCTTATTGTGAAAGACATTGGAGCACATACTCGTTCATCCAATCAATGAAGAGAAATAAAATTATTCCACAACGGACTGAAGATTTAGTTTATGTGCATACAAACCTTCGGCTTCTCTCAAGAAAAACTCCAACTTAAATGAAAGAAGACAACAGGATGTGGGATGTAGGTGGACATGGATTTGAATCTCTTGAGGATATGGGAATATTAGAAATTGCTAATCTTTCACTTGATGAGCTTGAATTAGAAGCTATGATATTTATTGAAGATGATATAGAAACTCAAAGGCAAACCACTGAAGAAGTTAATCCTCTCATTCCTTCTGAATAGTTGAAATTTCATGTGCTGGACAATTTATCTTCTTGTTTTTGTTGTTGTACTAGACATTTAAATATTTCATACTTACTTTTATTTCAATTTTTTTGTCATTTCAATTATTACACTTTGATTACTTTCTTAATTTTTATGTATTATTTATATATTATAATGTTGTATCCGTGCCATATCCACACAATTTTTTAAAGGATTAATGTCATGGTTATTCGACAAGTATTACTTTGATTGTCAACTACCTAACGCAATCCTCCACTTTTTTCATAGAGGACTTAGGACCTGGCAACGGCAGTGTTTAATTAATATCAAATATAATCGAAGTAAATACATAGCTCTACTAAAACTTTTAAAATTTACTTACATACCCAAAAGTCTGTACAGCCATCATTCAAATCTCTTTTTAAATATTTTTGTACACCCAAAACATATTTACACTAAAAGAACTATCACCACTTTTTTCACTTAGTGTCATCGGGCTCTTTCCCCTTACCTGCAGTATAATCACTACTAATAAGCTAGGCTCAATAAAATATACTAGCAATGTATACAAATTAGTAATAATAACATTGTTACAAATTATTTTAGAAATCTAAGAAAGGTATAACATTACTTTCTATCTTGTTAACTGTTCAACATTTTTGAATAAATCATGTGATGGCTATAAGCTTTTACACCCTAACTTTCTAATTTAAGGATGGTTTGGATCCCCAACTTTTAGAATTGGAACTGCTCTCTCACCCAATGTTGGGTCTAAATTCCCAACTTCTAGAATTGAGAGTATATACTTACCTCGTCAGGTGTTTCGCCTTTACTTGTGCAGGTTTATCCCCCAATATATGACTTAAAGCACTTTATACTCTCCTTCATTTCAGGTACATTTTCATAATCATATGAATCAACTACATGTGTAATCCACATATGAAGCAATTGAACAAATTTAAATACATGCTATCATGGGAAAGAAATGCTATTATAAACTTGATAAATATCAATTTGCAACTTTATAATTTTTTTACTATTTTTTATGCATCGGTTGGGTATCTCACTTCGTTGTCAAATGGTTCTTCTACTATACTTTGCCTTCTTTTCCTTCTGTAAACAACCTTTATTAAATTTCTCCTCATTCACAATGTTTCTCCCTTCTACTTTCCTTTTCCTCTTCCTCCTATCTTTTCTCCACAGGCTTCAACAACTGAATAACAACACAAATAATGATTACAGAGGACCTGAATTCTAGCAAATCCCCATTCAGGACACTAATAAATCAGTATATTTCTTATTGATTTTAACAAAATTATAGCTCTTACCTTTACCTCTTTCTTACCTTACTATTATATGAAGTTTTTCCTCTCCTCACTGATAAGCCTCTACTAAAGCAGCTCCTACTCAATTTCATCCCACTGCAGCAGCCATTTTTACAGAAATACAGCAGCAGTCCCTTATCTCCTTCGAATTCCACATTAGCCCACTGATTTTAGCAAATTTCAGCAACCCTACCGCCTCTATTTGGATTTATATACCTGAATTCAGCAAAACTATATTCATTTCCTAAGTGTTTTTAGCAAGAATCAGCAAAAACACTGTCTAATTGAAGCAAACAACACATAATTTCAGTCAAATAACAATTTCAACCACAACTACAGCACCTCACTGCTTTCTCTTACGTTGGTTTGCTGAGATTTCCTGAAATTCTCCCCCATAGCAGCCTGTATGAGTTCTGTCCAACAGCACTTACCCCTCAGCTCAAAATTTTCTTTCAGACAGCAGCAACCCTTCTTACCTCACTCGAGCATTTTTAACAAAATTATAGCTCTTACCTTTACCGCTTTCTTACCTTACTATAATCTGAAGTTTTTCCTCCTTTCCTCACTGATTAGCCACTACTACAGCAGCTCCTACTCAATTTCATCCCACTGCAGCAGCCATTTTTACAGAAATAAAGCAGCAGCCCTTATCTCCGCTGAATTCCACACAAGCCCATAGATTTTAGCAAATTTCAGCAACCCTACCGCCTTTATTTGGATTTATATACCTGAATTCAGCAAAACTATATTCATTTCCTAAGTGTTTTTAGCAAGAATCAGCAAAAACACTGCCTAATTGAAGCAAACAACACATAATTTCAGCCAAATAACAATTTCAACCACAACTACAGCACCTCACTGCTTTCTCTTACCTTGGTTTGCTGAAATTTGCTGAAATTCTCCCTCATAGCAGCCTGTATGAGTTCTGTCCAGCAGCACTTGCCCCTCAGCTCAAAATTTTCTTTCAGACAACAGCAACCCTTCTTACCTCACTCGAGCATGCAACCAGCAACTGCCCTTAGAGTGACAGATGTGAGGAAAATAGTTTAAGGTTTTTAACTGATTACCTTATTCTAATATTTTATACAAGAAATTCCACTTCTACCACCACTAAGCCACTTTCCAGCATTGCTAGCTGTTGGATAGAGTAATGAATTCATCAGCCAATGCATGCAAGCCTTAGTGGAAATTTCTGAAAATAGATTAAAATGAATTAGCTATTAATGGAATTAATGCTTAGTATGACATTAACTGTGACTTTATTAATAAGCAGTTATTGAATAGCTATACAAATATTTTACTTACATTTATTTTAAGTACTTGGGTATTACAAAAGATGATACAGGGGTCACATCAAGGTCATAATGAGAATCATGAAAACATGACAGTGATTTCCTTTTATTGTTTGATGAAGATAATAAATGTTTTTCTTCTTAAGTTTACTTATCCTTTTTCACAAGTCACTCTTCAAAAGAAGCAAGTGAATTGGAGAACTAAATATATATTCATACATGCCTTTATAGGTAGGTTACTAATCTCAAACTAGGCTAATATTGTAGAAGTGCGGCAAGAGAGAATACTCACTCAAAGCAATGCTCACCCAAATAGCCTCATCCTAAGGAGAAGTTGCTAGCACCAGCCAATGCGCAAGCAAAGATTCACCCCAATGGAGCTTGCGGTATATGAGCACGCCCTTGGAGGATCAAACTAAGGAAGCGCTCATTCTTGATAAGTTCATCCAAAGGATTCACCCAAACAAACCTTCCCCTAAATGGAATTTGCCCCAGGAAGATTCGATCGCGCAATGGTTGTTCTCAACTGAATCTATCTACATCCATGAATGTTCCAGTTCAAGATACAAGAAGAGCACACCTACAATGCCCATGGGCATGACTCCATTGATTGTATGCATCCCTAGCACACAACCACATTTGCTTTGGAGACTCGTCATTCATCCTCAGGAACTCACATTCACAAACCCATCTGAGACACTCGCTCTCAAAGACTCTCCTGAGATACTCATCAGAATCTCTCTCAAGCTACATCAGGGGCATAGGGCTATGTGTACATCATTCAGCATAGTCCACATGTCTATGTTAGTCCATGATTGTAACATCATGTAGTTTTTTTTTCTATGAGTAGTTTTTCATGTAGCCCTCTTAACCTTATAAATAATGGATTTTGAGGCATATTTTGGAGCTTCATGCTATTTTTCACTACTCATAGATATCTTAGAGTTTATTTCTTACTTTCTATACTTGTTGATTTCCTCACCTGGTTCTATCATTCTAACCCTTTTGAATCGCTAAGTAGGATCAAGTGTTGTCCACAGACAAATTTTAATCCAACAATATAATTGCTCAACTTAATTGGCATTTTCCATTAAATCGTCTAGTTGAAAGATATCAGTAAAACACTAAAGCATACAGGTCACAATGAAAACATTCTAAGAACACTAAAAGTCAATCAAGTAGTATTCCAAGGCAGCAAAAATGATCATTCAACTAATATTTGATTGTTCCCCTAAGCAGAAGTCAGATTTTATTAGTATTTAAAATTGGTATTCCACGTAGCAATAGTATAGGTGCAGTAACTTGTTCCTAAAATGATCAGTCATGCTTTCTCGTACAAGACCTGATATCAAAATATCTAAAGTCGGTTCTTTAACAGCAACTTGCATGACAGATTTTAGTGTTTAAGAATTGGTGTAAACACTTAACAACAAAACAACAATAATTAATCAAATGGACACAATGCTATCAAGTAATACGAAAAAAAAAAAACATTATAATCATTATACATGATTTTGTGCATTTATAGGTCAATTGGACAAGTATTCAAGTTACACCACCTTGGTTAAGGATTAAAGTTTCAGAAATAAAAAACTGCAAAATTATATTAGCCCTGAATATACTACAAGCAACCAAAGTAATAAAAGAGCAAGGTTATATTTGAAATAAACAAAGGCACTTGACAGCTTACCAAAGTAAAAATGCCATAAAATATCGAGCATTTTTCTCTCCAATGCAATTATTCTGCAATCAATAAGATATTTTATACTGCAATTAAAAGAGAGATAAATGTTGCAAAGAATATAGTTCGGAAGGAAAGGCAATTTATCCATAGCACTTGGTCGAAAGGAAATGTAAAGCTTCTATTATTTTCATTTACTATCACCATCATCATTAGATCCTCTAAATTTATCTAGTGTCTTGGGAAGGATAGAGGCAAAATAACAGGTTTTGAGTTTTAACTAAAAAAATAAAATTAAAAAGAAGAATTGATGGCATGGTAGTTAAGGAGTACTAAAACAAATGTAGTTCCCCCTTCTATGGTTTTGATTGGCATGAGAACTTTAAGACAACTTGAGTAAATCTTTAAGTTTGTTCCCTTTGACTCGAGATTGTGGGCTCCAAAAAATCACACCCCGGCCTCTCTGTGGACCCCTTTCTTTTCTTTCTTTTCCAAGTTGTCGATGATAGTTTTAACATTTAGGTTCCGAGGCAGATTGGATTTTGAATTAATACTTTACCCAGAGATTTCGCTCTCATTTTGTGAGGACTTTATGATCTGAGTTCAAGTTTCCTATAGGCGCAAGCCAGTAATAGTTAATTACCCGCCCTGCTAACGAGAGAGAACTTGTGGTTAAGGCTAGTCGTCAAACGGATACATAGTATTTGTGCACTTGTTTCCCACTTGAAATAACAATTTCTTATCATGCATTGAAGGCCTTGTATTGTTGAGTGCAAGCATGTCATTGCATTCCTACTCTTGTGGTCATTGCAATTACTCCAAATCACCCACATACATGATTGGGTTAGAAGTATGAATCAATCATAAACATGCTGAGTTGAAATACATGGATCCCTTTTTTATCCATTTGGTATTCATTTGAATACATGTCATAGGATGCCTTAGACTTTACTTGCTCAAGTTCCTTGTGATCTTTTGAGTTCAAATCATATTCAAATCAAAGTCCAATTCGTTGTTATTAGTTACAAGTCTAAGTCCACATTCATTTGAATCAATTGAATCAAGTTCACAAGTCCTCATTTATCCTTTGAGTTTGATCAAGTTCAAGTCTTGTGTAAGTTCAAAAATTCCACTTTCGTTCTGTCTAAGCTCTTTGTGTTCAAAGTCTGGTTCAAGTCCCTTGCATCCTTGCAAGTTCAACTGCGAAACAAGTTCAAATAAAGTTCGGGCTTAATATGAGCCTCTTTCGTTCGTCGAGTCCCCTATAGTACTTTGAATTTAAATTATGATGGGTTCAAGTTGAGTTCACAGTTGATTCAAGTCTTTTTTGTAGTTCAAATGAGCTCTTTGCTTGCATTAAAAGTTGATGTTCATTTGCAAGTTTTGAACCACCACTTAGAATATTTTTACATTTTAATTTCATAGTGTATTTATTGCATTAAAGTCTGGTTCCCTGTAGTCAAATTGCAAGTTCCATTCAAGTTCAAATGTGAGTTCAAGTTCCTTTATGATTGTCCTAAACTACAGTCCCAAGTCAAAGTTCTTTGCACTTATTCCTTTTGAATTCAAAACAGGTTCCAAGTATGGTCGTATATTCACTCGAAATTTCTGCAGCCTCCCGGCGTCTCCCCCGTTTAGGGGAAAACAATGGGAAAACTGGGCCACCCGCCACGCTAGAGAAAAGTGTGTATGGTTGGTGCCCTCGTATGAGGACACCGCGGCCGTGAAATCTTTGTCCCCACCACGCCAGAGAAAGGAGTGTATGGGTCTTCGATACTTGTTGCAAAAGAGAAGCTGTTTTTCCCCGCGAGCGGGTACTTATGAATATCCCGGTCTCGCCGTAGGTGCCGCATTGGGTCCCCATCTCACCACTGTTGACCTCTATGTATTAACCGGTAGAACAAAAAAAAATCAAAATCATACCCGACGGATCCACGACATCTGCCCGAAATCCCGACTGAAATCCCCAGAATCCTGCTGAAATCACGCTGGCAACGCCGATTCACGTCGTTTCTCCGTATTCCATGCCGAAATCCCGCTCCCGATCCCACTCCAGCTCCTGTCGTTAAATATACGACCAAATGAGACACTTCTCCGCCGCTCTTCACGATCTCCCCTCTGTCTCCACACGACCCCAGCTCTCGGCTCTCCCATACGCTGCTTCCTTCCGCTCCATCGCAGATGGCTGCGATCTGTTGGAGTCGGACGAGATGGGGGAGATCGGTTAAAGTTGCAAATTTAGGAAAATCGGACAGAGCAAAGGCTTCGGCTTTGGCTTCGATAAATGGAGGATCGGCAGGCCTGCGATGGAGGTCGTCGGAGCTAGATGTCGTTAAGGAGGAGGAAGCATCGGCTTTGGAGGGAGGAGTTGAGAGATGTGGCTTTTGGGGTTCGTTTTGAGCTCGGCAGTGGGAAGGAAGGAAGCTTGAGGAGGAGATCGGGAGGCTAGGAGATATTTGAAGAATGGACCGAAGAAAAAGACCACTTCAGCTCTATTCGGTCCTCATTTTATCAATGCCAAGGGAGCAGCCGAGTTGGATCTCTACACACGAAGGATGAGACAGATCGCAACTTCGGCGCCGTTTGCAGGGGGAGCAGGATATGGGCAGCTGTAGCGGGTGGTATTCGCCAAGATTTTGCAGCAGGGGTAATGATTTTTTAATATTTTTTTATTTCTATTTTTTTTTCCTCCTTACTATAGTAAAGAGGTCAACACTTTTCATTTCCTTTTTTTTTTCTTTTCTTTCTCGTCCCTTCTCCTTTTTTTCTTTCTTTTTTTTAAATAACAATAGTAACTATAATATTAGTATTAATACTATTTATAATAATATTAATAGTAGTATTAAGAAAGAAAAATAAAAAGATGGCAAAGGATTTTAGAGATAGAGAGAGGAGAGCGGCAGATCAATAAGTGGCTGCTTTATGTTTGAAGTGGGCTGATTTTAAGTGGGTTGGTGGGCTAGATTTAATTGTAACTGTTGAGTGTTGGGTTGTGTAAAACAGAGGAGAAATGGGATAGGTTGTGGAGTTTGGGTGGACTAATTGTGGTGTGAGGTACGATTGAAGGTTAATTGAAAGGGAAGAGGAGTGGTGTCTGTTGTTGTTGACAAGATAGAAAGGGAGATCAGCAAGTAGAGGGTAGAGAGCTTGCATGAAGTTCGGCCGAAGTGTGAGGTCTAGCTGCTTGCGTGGAGTCGAAAGTTGATGTGTGAGGCCGATTTAGTGTGAGATCTGGCACTTGGAGCTGGATCGTAGGTCACAAGTAGGATCGCTCGAAGGTGTTGCTTGCGGCTGGAGGGTTTGACGAAGGCTGGAGATGGCGGATCTTATGCGGCGGTTGGGGTCCAGTTCGGCTGGGAACCGAGTGGTAGGGAGATCTGGAAGCGACTATTTGACGGAGGAGAAAGGAAGTTACGGGGTCTGGATTAATTAAACAGGGCCTATGTGAAGATGGGAGTCGAAAGTCTTTGCTTGGAGTTCGATCAGCTAGGTGGTATGTTTGTGGATGGGTTGGTTGTACGAAGATGTCAGGTGAGAGAGATGTCGGCTGAGTAGTGAAGAGATGGAGCAGATGCAGTCTAGAGGAAGAAATCAGGCTTAGTTGGCTTGCAGGTCCGAAGAGTAAAGAGGTCGCTATCGGAAAGAGCAGGTAGGAGGTAGGACCCAATCACAAGCTTGGATAGTCAGGATTGGTGGCTTTACGTGGTAGGGGGTGTTCGAAAAGTTAAAGAAAAACTTAAGGCTTCGTTTCATTTCCATTTTAACGAAGAGGGTGGGCAAGATAAAGGAGTGAACTACGGGATCTGCGAGAAATGACGCTTCGTTAATGTTGAATGACAACTATGGAGGTTTCAGCGGGATTTTCGGGGATTTCAACACGATTCACGGAATTTTTTGACAGAACGAGGTATTTCGATTTTTTAATTTCTTTTTCATATTATTATTATTATTATTATTATTATTATTATTATTATTATTATTATTATTATTATTATTATTTAAAAAATAAAATTTTGAACGGTGATTTTGGTCTCAATTCTGTGCATTGTCTCGAAATTAGTACATTTTTCATCTCAGGAAACATTGATTTCTTCGAGAAAATTTTGTTGGATGAAATTATAGTCATTCTTGAATATTGTCGACGTTTCAAACGCAACGGCGAATCCATTTTAGGATCAAATGCCGTTTGGACAACGCCGCATGTCAATTTGGGGTGTCGGTTGTCACTTTCGACAATTTTCGCCCGTTTGACAATTGGATGCCGTTTAACCCTTCAAGTGATGTGCGGCGCCGACGCGCACGTCACTTAATGCACTGATTTTGCTTCTTTTTTTGCGTGTTTTGAATGTACGGGTCAATAAAGGGGATAAAAGTTGATCTACCATTACAAGTTCAAGTCATTAATAGAGCAATCGAACAATAGCATTAAAAAGTAAGCCAAAAATTTAAATGATAGGCATTAAAAAGAAAAACTCACCATCCATCCACAATGATGGTCAAACCGAGCAACGCATCTATCACAAATGCCACAATGCTTGGACCTAGCAGGCCTGCACTGAAGGTGTACTCCCATCAGATTTTTCAGGTGACAAAGAGTGGCATAGATTAAATGAAGAACAAAGCAATACTTTGGAATTTTGCAAGTGGGGCATTCCTTCTCGACATAGAGCATGTTGTCATAAGGATAAGCAGATACGTATTGAGAAACATTCTTAGCATTCACGGTTCCTGGATCAGAAAAGCTAGTCAACAGAAAGAGTAATACTCCCACACCAACGGCCAAAACGCTTGCATACCTGCAAAAGGGCATTGATTCTACAGGTTGGTAAAAATATACTAATACCTAAAACTTCCTTGGCTAATAGTCATTAAGCTTATAAAGTTATTTAAATTACTTGTGCAGTTCATTCACATAGACACCAGGAATATATCTGAAAGATGACTTTGCTATGATATAAAAGGTTCCCCCAAGTATGCCCAGGTACAATAGCTGCAATATAAATTGGCAGAGCGACAGTTTTTTTAATATGAAAATTTGATTGCCAAATATAAGCAATAATAAACTAAGATAGCAAGAATGCACATGTGCTAGAACAGTCCGATTATTTAAAAAGATATATTATAAAACATAACAGTACAACTGCTTCAGCTCAAGTTTGACTTCATACAAAGAAAGTAGATTGTTGCATGCCATTATTGTACTTGGCATTTTCTTAGTTTTCCTTCTGATAGACACAGAATGTCAAAGGCGGACGGGGGAATCCCTAGGATCAAAACTATAAAGTGAGAAGATAGGAAAATCAGTAAGGATGTCTGCGGAAGATGGGCTCATTAGAATGGGGGTCTAAGTTGGATGGAGGGTTAGCTCATCAAAATTGGTTCCCAAGGCAAAAGAGAGGCCAATGGGCAAGTCAATCACAATCAACTAGATTTGTACAGTGGCATTGTCGTTGGAGGTGGGTTTGAGTTAATAACTAAACATACAAAGGGAATGTTGGGTTCCTTATATAATGGCTTGACAAGAAATAACTTGATGGTCTTGTATTTATGTTTGAAGGCATAACTGTTATCATGAACATAATGGATAGCATTTATGTAATGAAATCATAGCCTACCAGGAAGGATGTGTTACGTCCATGATAATGATATTATACTAAATATGATTGTCATAACCACTTTGTTTAGTGGAAGCTAAGCATCTAGTCATCACAGATAGACATGTGTTATTGACTTAAATAAAATGGAATGGTCTAGGATGGGATCGATGCTTCCAGTTAGTCCTTGTAAGTGCTTAACTGGACATGAAATTCATTGCAATACCACTATCAACAATTTATTTATAAATTTCTCATTACATAAGGTAACATATAGTGCTCCCCCTAACTAGTAATATTGGTATGCATCTACTATCCCGAGTAGAGATTTTCAATCATGGAAATAAAAAAATTGATAAAGAAAAAGAGTCGGCCATCAGAATCGAGCCGATGACCATCGCATTACAAATGCGATGCTCTAACCTCTGAGCTATGCGGGCGAATATAAGAGCAGAACCTTTAGTCAATAAGAGCCCTACTTCCTTCAGTAGCAACCATAGACAGAGTAAAGTAACCGGGTTAGAATCAGATTTTAAAATAGAAAGCCATCTCATGATAACTAAAGGGATATTAGTAAACTTATAATCAAGCAATAGAATATTATCTCTATCCTCTCAACATCATCAAGTTTAGGAGTCTCGGTTTCATCTGAGAAGAAGACTTATTACTTGAAATTTATGGCACTTAAAATACCTAATGTTTTTAGTGTTCCTGGGGGAGGTCTCAATGGGTCCTACCAGAGAAAATAATAGTAGAGGCGAACAAGGAAGCAGCAAGTCTATCAGTAGAACTAGAGGCAAATTTAGGAATGGGAAAACCATAAGGTTTGGAAGTAGAAATTCATTTCTTTTGTATTCCTCTAAAATCTGTGGATTTAAAAGGTCAACTTCATTTCTAATTTCTTTCCTAAGTCCAATAATAAAATTGTTAGCAATCTACCAATCTTGATCAGTATAATTTATTCTAACTAACAAATTCTCATAAGTATTTAAGTAGTTGGTTTCAAGGTGCCATCTCTTAATATAAGGATGGTCATTGAGTTTTTTGTCATAATGCCATGGAGAATATTTAGAACTTAATATTTTCTTCGTTTCTACTCAAGTTGATGCATTTCTAATATTTCTTTATTTTATATCAAGTAAATTACACTAGTATATTTTAGCATGTCATATCAATTTCATTTTAACTATATTGGTTATTGGAATGGTATATCAATTGAAAGAAGTCATCCATCTGAAGGAGTGAATCTAAAAATTTGTTGAGATTATGAATACCATTAAATATAAAGCGCTTTAACTTTAATTTTCTTCAACGTATTATCATATGCCCTAAGTTCTTCTAGGTGGAGTTTCTAGATAAACATACTCCTAAAGTTGACCTTTCTAAGATGATCATGCCAATAAAGGTCAATATGTGTAATAGATGAAATCTGTTGAATAAATACCTAAGTGAAACTCAGTATTTGATTTTATAATAAATACTCTTGTGTTATGTAATACAATAGTTTTCTAAGTGTTCTCTATTGGCTAATCAAGTTATAAAAATTATCAAAATGACCAGCAACCACCAAGATGATGTAAAAGATGATGATGACTCAGTAAGCATGCCAAGAATACTCCGTGAAGAATTTAACTGAATGTATCATCCAGACCAGCAACCAATTTTGTTTTTCTAAGTATTTTAAGGTGTCTTTAGATCCTATGTGGATTTGTAAGTATGATAATTATCAAAACCTCACAAATATCAAATACAAGATTTAAATAGGTTTAACATCTTAGATACTTAATATATATATATATAACAACAACATCATCAAGCCTTTATCCCACTACATGGGGTCAGCTACATGCATCCTTTCTCTATTGCGTCCTATTAAGAGTCAATTTATCATTTAAATCTAATAAGAAAAGGTCTTTTCTAATACTTTCTAACCAAATCTTTTTAGGTTCATCTTTACCTTTCTTAACATAGGCGAGATCTAATACATCTACTATCCTAACCCATTGGAAGGCTGATGTTTTATATGGCCAAACCATCTAAAAGGCGACCCTCTCTAACCTTATCCTCCACTGGAGCTACTCCAACCTTTTCACGTACATACTTGTTTCGCATTCTATCTCTAAGCATAAAACCACTCATCCACCTAAGCAACCTCATCTTTGCAACACTTATGTTTATGATTCTCTTTTAATGGACAACATTCTGCACTATAAAGCATTGCATGTCTCACCACCATCATTTAGAATTTTTCCGTAAGTTTGATTGGTCTATCACACAACAAACTCGAAGCATTCCTCCACTTCAACCATCCAACTTGAATTCTACTAAAAACATCCTTGGCTGCTGTCTTGACCTGAGAAAATCTAAAGGAGAGACACTTGTTTTAGTGCAATACTTGGAGGGGGCCTCCAAGGAGTGGACGTAGGTCAAGGTTTGACCGAACCACTATAAATCCGGTGTGTTCTTTCTTTATTACCTTCGCACTTTTAATTTCCGCATCGTTGGTTTTGATTGTGGTTAATCTTGTTTTTGGATTTAAGATTGTGTTTGTTTTAAATACTGATTCACCTCTCTATCTCATTATTAGCCTTGGGCCAGTTCATAAGGGCTTAACATCCCTAACGAACCTTCAAGTGGTATCAGAGCACTTTTAGTGTCATCTGAGCACCTTCAAGTGGTATCAGAGCACTTTCTAGTGTCATCTGAGC